ATATATTAAGCTGTTTGAGTTCGGTGTCACTGATGAGAAAAGCCAAGTGGCATGATTCTTTGTGAAGCACTTTGATACCATGTATCAATAGGTTTTCAAGCTGCTTCTGACCTTTAACATAGAAATTCCATTTGTAGAATTCTACCCCAAAGAGATAATACTAAATATAAAGAAAAGTTTGTGCTCAGAGATGTTCAATGCAGGATTATTTACAATAATAAAATACTGGAAACAATCTATACTTAAGAATCAGGCAAACCGGGTGTGGTGGCGCATGCCCGTAATCCCAGCACTCAGGAGGCTGAGGCAGGAGTACTGTTGTAAGTTCGAGGCCAGCCTGGGCTGCAAAGTGAGCTCAAGGCCAACCTGAACTGCACAGCGAGACCCTGTCTCAAAAATGCAAAAAAAAAAAAAAAAAAAGAATCAGACAAAGTAGGGTGTGGTGGTGCAGACCTGTAATCCCAGCACTCTGGAGGCTGAGGCAGGAGGATCACCAAGTGTTCAAGGTGAGCCTGGACTACATAGGGTGTTCAAGGCCAGCCTGGACTACAGAGCAAGACCCTGTCTCCAAAAAAACCCAAAAACAACAACAGAAAAAATGAATCAGGCAAGTTTCTGCACAATGAAATATGCTGACTTAAAGTGATTCTTAACAGGAACGAATCCTAAAAAGGAAAGTGATATCTAATATAAAGCAAAAGGCAGAAAACAAAATAACTGCAAGGATGATTTTTTTTTTTAATTTTAAAGAGAGCAGTAAAAGAAAAAAGAGAACAATAGCAGCATACCAACATCACAAACATAAACAAAACAAAGCAAGAACATTAAAAGTGATACAGGGTTTCAAGACAAAATGAGAGGAATTAACAGTGGTTGTTATAGTACATATTGTTATCTTCAGTTACGTTGCTCAGATTACCAGATGTAAGAATGGAAGGCTGTTCAAACCTAGGATGATCTTGACAATGTAAAAGTCTTAGAAAAAATGAAAAGGAAAATATTCTAAAATTTATCTGGGGGTACTGAAAGAATACTTATTTTAAATCTCTTTTTCTTTTCCGGATTTAAAAAAGAAGTCCCATAATGAGACATAATTAGTTTTGTGAAAGTAAAAAATAACTATTTCCAAAGGAAAACACATCTCAAGGCATTTTCAGAACCTTAGAGACCCTTGCTATCCCACTGGTACCCAGAACAGACCCTGCATGGCTGAGAGGGCTGGACATGGGAGGGACATGGATGCCTGAGAGTTCACAGCCTGGCAGACCATGCCCTATGTACAAGTGGAAGCTGTCTGTCTAGTGCCTGTGATTCTGAGCCTGTCGCCTATCAGTCGGGGCAGAAGCCATCTCTTGTTCTTGCAGTTATGTAGGAAAACTGGTGCCTGCCATGACAAGACTGGTGACATGAGACCGAAGGGTTTTATGAAGCCATGAAGACCAAGGTCTTCTTAAATTAAATGAACATCCCTGGAAACATGAAGAGGTAGGTACCGAGACCTGTTTCACAAGGTGATTCCCCTCTCCTTTGGCCTGACTTATAGGAATAAATACATACATACACACGTGAAAGGAAGTAAATGAAAAGGCCATCCAGGAGCAAGCTAGACCCGCTGTATACAATACAGGCTGAACAAGTAGGTAATTCATGTTTTGAACACTAAAAATCAGCAGTCATTAAGAAGTATTTTGGGCAGGGTGTGGTAGCACATGCCTATAGTCCTTGCATTTGGGAGGTTGAGGCAGGAGGATCACCTCGAGTTCAAGGACTGCCTGGACTATGTAGTGAGATCCTGTCTCAAAACACCAAAAAAATTTTTTTAAACTTAAATTTAAAATTTAAAAAAAATAAAGGAAAATAAAAGGGATAATGTACTGTTTGGACAGAGGTGGACCTGGGTGGGGAGCAGGTGGATGAAACCTCTGCACGGATGAACACTAGAAGTGGCAGCACCTCTTCCCTGTTCCTATGATGCTATCAGCCACTTGCTTGGTCCCCTGTCACTCTGAGCTGTAGACACTGTGCCTGACACTATCAACCCACATGGGGTGCTCTGTGAACACTTGTGGATGGATAAACAATAGTGATGGGCTTAAGAAGGCCTGAGAGAGCAGCTTTCTCAGCCCAGCTGTCTTATTTCTTTTTGCTGAATGCCAGGGGAAGAGCCTTGGCCTTCAGTTTCATCTTCCTGTCCTGAGATCAGAGCCATGGAGCAAGCCACCGAGGCCACATACCTGCCAATTGTGCTTTTTAATAAAACAGAAGTGGATGTGCCAGCTGGCACACCAGGAAGACGACCACAGCAACCTGCAGCTAGCACTCAGAGGTGAACATCTGATGTGAACACAGGGAGCCATTTCAAACATCCCCTTGAGCTTCAGGAATAGTGCAGGTTTAAACTCTCCCGAATTAGAGCTCATTATCTAAAACCTTTTGACCCCAGGTTGCCTGGGGTCCCACACTGTAGATGTGGATGTGATGGATTCTAGGTCCTTCCTGATCTGTCCACCCTCCCCACCATCAAGACAATGCTGGATCTCAGCTTACTAGGAGAACTTGAGAGACCACAGGCTTGCACGAGCACGGGGTTCCTTCCCCACAGCCAGCCACACTGACTGCATCACACAGAGCTGCACAGGTGAGAAGACCCAGGTGTTCTTCAAAGTCAAAGCAATCCTGGGTCACCAACCGTTAGGCAAAGCCAATGTCCAGGAAAAGCAGCAGTTCAAACAGAATTTTAATAAGCTCACAGCCCATAAAAAATGCCACCTGGGAGTGTAGAATTCTTCCTCACCTGGATAAAACATTTGATCTGTCCATCAAAAGATTACCATGTGACTGCAACACAGTCCTGCACCTGAGAAATAAAGGTCCCTTCCAAGCAGTCAGCAGAGGTGCTGAGGAGCTCGTTGGAGGCTTCCCTGGTCTGCTCCTGAGGCACACCTCACTTCACCCAAAGCTAATCAGGGTCCCATGGTCTGAGAGAAAAAGCACCTGTCCAAGAGATCACAGAAGAACCTGGGGTAGTGGGGAGGACTGACTCGAGCTCCTTCAAACAGATATACTGTCTCTGTGGCTAGTGTCCCAGGCTTTTCAACCTGTGTACTAAGTAGGGCTATTTTCAGGGAGATTATCATCATCCTCACACCTCATTTGAAGAGGCAAAGAGAAATAAGATGCGGCATCTGTTTTAAATGGAAATCCCGGCTCATAAGAGCCCTTGGTCACAATCGACCTTCTGAGAATTTCCATAAGACACTAGGACTTACCTTGGAGTAGATAATTCCCAAATATGGGTAGCTGAAGAACAATTCTTGCTCCCTCTTTAGAGCGCCCTCATTATGGAAATACTACAGCTGCTTAGATGTTTTCAGATAGGTCTTCAAAGTGTGAGGTCTCCCTAAGTTTTCTGAACAGTAATGGGAGCCAGCACACTCTGCTTTAGGGCCTTCCTTATATTTAATCTGTGTGCGTGAAGATCAGGGCAAGAAAAACTTACATACACATACGTCTGCTCACATATCCTTTAACCACATCCTCAGCCATAAGAATGTGTTTTTTGCTGGGCACAATCGTAACCACGCTCCTAACCCCAAACTACCTGGGAGCCTAAGGCAAAAGAATCACAGCTGGGGCTGGGGATTTAGCTCAGCGGCAAAGCGCCTGCCTGGCAAGCACAAGGTCGTGAGTTCAATTCCTGATACCGAATGAAAAACAAAAACAAAAACAAAGAATCACAGGTTTAAGGGAAGCCTGGGTAACTTAGCAACACCCTGTTTCAAAAGAAAATTTGGGAAAAATAAAAGCATGGGCATGTACTTCAGGGGTGGAGCCCTTGAGTAGCACGTAGGAGGGTCTGGGTTCAGTCTTCAGCATGGGATGAGAAGAAGGTGCTGTTTTCAGTAATGTACTTATCTGCTTTCTGAAATCCTGGAAGAATGTTATCTAAGCTCTGGCTTTCCCCTTGTGATGCTGTAGTAAACAGGATCTTTCCAAGTCCTGGGCCCATTTTCTGTTCTGCTGCTTTGCTCTGTATGAAGCTAGAACTTTACCCCAAATCTGGTTAAAGGCTTTGGAGCTACTGAAAACATCAATCTCCAACTCTGATCTCAGTTTTGAATGAAAAGATCTACCTGTTTTGGGGTTCTTCCTTTCCCACTATGAAGCAGTAACAAAAAGACGGCACCAGGTATCTATAGCCCTAGCTTGCTTGCTAGGTTTCACAGCTACTCCCAGTCATACCTCAGCATCAGTAGAATATCTAGATTATTGCCAAATTACCTACAATATCCGTCCACCACGGCCTTGCCAGCCCCCATCAACAGTGGATTTTCTTTTTACAACTGGAGAAACTGAGGCACGCTGTGATGATGATGACTTCTTTCGAAGAAAAGGGAGGAACCTCCATGATGAGCTGTGCCCTCCCCAATCAGATGCTTGAATTTCTTGCATAGGAAGTGATATCAGTGGGGAAATTCTAATCCTTCCTTAAGTTTTAAAGCAAAGACACCATCCAATGAAAAGGCAGGCAGAAAATAAAGGCCTAAGCCAAATATTTCACCTCTTCTGAAAAAAGAAAACAAGAAGCAAGACAGTCTATTACCCACTTCAGACAGGAACGGCAAAGCCACTGGAGGCTCCCAGAGCGCTAGCAAAAGTCACCACCTAGATTCCACCACCCATGACTAGCAGAGAACAGGCCCCAACTTTGCATATATGATAAACAGCCATGTTTTAGAGAAGTGCACTCGAAAGCAGGCCCACCCCTCCGCCAAATGCATACAGGAGAGCAGATATAAGAACAGACAAGAAGCACCCTCCTTGTGATTTTCCCTGCACAGTTAGGATAGCACAGTCTCCATCTGCTAACTTTCTCACTTATACGTGTTCATACTAAATACAGAAGAGAATGCAAACTGAATAAACCTATGCAGAAAACCTCAGTCCAAACTAAAAAAAAAAAAAAAAGCCTTTGCTGTGTTCAAAATACAAACACTTACGTTCTCAAACCCTCACAGTTTCTGCTCTTCTCACCCATTTCTTGTCTTGACTGAATCTTTCTCAGCTTGTCCAGACTCAGCCCGGCTTGTGCAAATCAGCTCTGAAGCTTCTATGACTCAGCAAAGAGCTCCGCTTTTATTTTTCAGATGGAATTTACCATGCTGTGACTACATCCAGGGGGAGGAACCATTTCCCAGAGCTGTTTCTAAGCAGAGCCCTTCCGCCAGGATGCCCGAGCTCTCCCCAAGCGCAGAGGCATTCTCCACAGCATCCAGCGCGGTGCTCCATCCGGACTGCATGGAGGACCACAGCCAGGGGAGGGACTAGCGCTCTGCCATTGCCACTGGGATCCTGACGCTGCTTCTTGCTATGCAGATGAGGAGGAGTCCTGGACTCAGCACTGGTCTGGCCACATCCTCACTGAAAAGGAAAGTGAGGAACACAGGCAGTTGCTGGATAGTGCCTCCTGTGGCATTTCCCACAGCTGCCCGGCTGCGCAAGCACAGCATTCTGGTCCTCTTTTCCTCTAGGTTAGAGAATCCTCGCCAGGATTTAATGTCACTGTAAGGTCAGTGATAGGAATGCACTTCCACTAAAGAGACTTTTTATTTTAAATAGTGAGGAGATAGAGGATTTGCATTCACTAAATTCTGTAGAATGAAAACGTAGAGAAGAAACAGACGAGGCCACTACCACATCTCACATGACTGACAATCACAGGAGCTCACCCTGCCCTAAATCCTGAGTGATTTTTTAATAAACCTCTGCAAAGGCAGCCTCACCGAATGGCTCTTTAGAAATTGCACGGCCTCATAGAGTTTCTAAGCAGCAGGAGGCACTCAGACTCCATCTGGCCTGGGGGGATCAAAGAAATAATCAAAATGACCCCACTGCTTGGCCCCATTTCTAACCACAAGTGAGTCTAGAACCCAGAGTGGAGGCGCAGGTATCCCTCCTGCCCAGCTCTGGAGAGCTGGTCAGCAAGAGCTCCAAGTCTGCTCCTGCCACCTCCACCCCACATCCTATACCCGGGCCTGCACCCCACTGGTTCCCCCTTTCTGCTGTACCAATCAGGCCCAACTGTCATTTCCCTAAATTGAGATTCAGTGGATATTGTTCTGACAGAAACCCAATAAAAATAGAATATAAGATAACAACAATAACATGGGGAAACCTTAACTTCTGGTTATTTTTGCTGTTTGCCTAAATCTGGTTAACTCTAATAAATTAGGACAAATGACCAAGTTGTTCTGATGAAAACCACTGACAATAATAATACTTTGATAGCTGACACCACTCTAAGCTCCCTGCATTTTGTAACTCATTTAACAGCAATGATAGCTCTGTTGGCTAGTTATTATTATTACTGTTGGATTTTACAGATGAGGAAACTAAGGTTGGATCACTTGCCCATAACTCCATAATTGACAGTTGCTGAGGCCCAGATCCGGGAGGCCCTGAGGTCAAGACCTAAACTACTTTCGTGTGCTGAGGAACAAGACTGGCCCCTGGAGTGGAAATCTCTACACTGGGGTGGTCCAGGGTCCCAAAGCCCTGCCAGGAAGGCAGCTGTCCTTGGTGTCGGATGGAGGCAGCAGGTGGCAACCACTTGAACCTGTATACCTTTTAACCCAACATTTCACTTCTAAGACTCACATCTAATGAGATGATACAGTAGTGTGGGATGTGCACAGATTTTATTTGACAAATATTTTTGTAGCATTTACCCTATGCCAGGCACTGTTTCAAGAACTTTAAATGTAACTCATTTAAGGATAATTATGGCAATGTTGCTCAAAATGGTAAAAAAAAAAAAAAAAAAAAAGCCCTGGGAACATTCTAAGTGTCCAACAACAGAGAGAGAATTCATAAAAACAACAGAATTCACATATACGAGAATACAAGACACCACTAAAAATGTCATTAAGTCTATATTACTGATATGGCAAGATGTAATTAATTTTTGTTAAGTGTTTTTTAAAAGCTGGCTATAAAAGGTATAAGAGGCTATAAGAAGTCACAGTTATGTTTTTTAAAATAAGTATATTGTGTGTGGCATTCACAGAAAAAAAAATGTCTGAAAGTGCATATACTAAAATATCAAGTGGTTATGTCTCCAAGTAACAGGCTTTCAGGTGATTGGACATTTTGTTTTATATCTTTCTGAATTGTACACATTTTTAAAACAATGAATATGTATTTATACTTAGAATTTAAAATCTATTTTTATTTTCAAACAAACTTATGCACAGCATTAACTTAGCTACATGTTTCTTGTCTCTGTAATATACGTGTTCCTTGCAGACTGTCCTCACATTGGGCTCAGAGGGGAACAGTGGCCCTTCCGAAGCCCAGGCTAATGGGGATTAGGGGGGAAAACAGGGTCCTGTGTGCCACACTAACGTATAAACCTGCTGGAGCAACTTGTTCATTTAAATAGCTTCCGTTTCCTAATTATAAGAGCAAAACATTCATGCCTGTAATCCTAGCACTTGGGAGGCTGAGGCAGGAGGATCACTGTGAGTTCGAGGACAGCCTGGTCTACACAGTGAGTTGAAGTCCAGCCTGAACTACACAGTGAGACCCTGTCTCAAAAAAACAAACAAACAAACAAAAAACAGAGCAAAACGAAAAAGAGCAAAACATGCTTCCTGTACAGAATTTGGAGCACACTCCCAAGGTGCACTGCCAGCCTCTGTCCGAATTCGTCCAGCTCAGAGAACCAAGGTTGAGCACTCAAAGCAGAGCTGCCATGATATAACTGCACAGAGTAACTGAATGACTCAGCTGCATCCTGAGGAATGGAGGTTTAAACAACAGGGTGCCCTTGTGCCACAGTGCCTGGGAAACTGCAGCCCTCAAGGAGTCTCTGGCCATCTTGCCACACCACCTCAAGGTCCCTAGATGGTCCTAGAGCAGCCTCACTCTGGCCCGCCTTATCTCCTGGAACCACTGTCATCTGCTGGATTTGGGGGAGCTTGGCCATGCTGGAGATGATTCCCAAATGCAGTTCTGCCACCTCGCTGCTGGTGAGACCCAGCCCCATATATCTTTTTGCTGGCCAAATATCCAGCTGGGTGTTTCAGGGGCTTCTCAGACACAGCAGGTCCAAAAACAACGTACCCCTTCCCCCAAAGTCCTGTCTTGCCTCAATTTCAGTTCTTGATACCACCACTGAGCAATTTTGCCAGTAAAAACCTGCTGGTGACCTCCTGCACCTCCCAGCCCCTCCACCTGGCTACCAGACCCTCAAACCTACCCCCAGGTCACCCCTTCTCTGCCTTCTGCCAGGACCCTATCTGAGGTGACTCTCCAACCCCATCCTTGGTCACACTCACCAACCACTGCCATCTCTCACTACTCAGACCTATTTTTATCACTCCCATGCATGGTGTTTGTACTACACAAACATATATCCATAATCATTTATTACTGCTTTATGTGTTTTGAAAAATGGCATGAATGGTATCATAGTTTGCATATTCTTTTGCAATTTTCTTTTTTTTTTGCCCATCATGTCCTTGATGTTGATCCACGTGGATGCATGTGGACCTTCACTTATTTTTGCTGTAGTCCCATGGATGAATAAACCACACCGCATATTTGCCTCCATTTTCTCCTACTGCCATAAGGAAGAAGGAGGTTCTTTTTTCTCATTGATATAAAAACGATGCCCCAAAGAACACCCTGATACATGCCTTATGGTCATGAGCTCATGTGTCTTTGGTGCAGATATCCTGAGGCAGGATGACTGGGCGGTGCAAACAGGTATCTTTGACTTTGTTACATATATTGGGCTACACTGGAAAGCAGCAAACAATAATGTATGAACTACTCATCTCCCTACATCTCTCCAAGTTCAACATTAGCCATGCTGATGGGCAGAAAGGACATTTTACTGTTGAGTTTCACTTGTAGCCATAAGATCAGTTGTTGTTATGCTTATTGTTCAGGTCTCTGCACCATCTTGCCTCTTCCTTTGCCCTTATCCTCTGTTGGATTAGCTGCTGGGCTGTGGGTATAGCTCAGTGGCAGAGCACTTACCTAGCATGCATGAGACCCTGGGTTCAACCTCAAGTACTATAACAACAACAATAATGTGACAATAAAGTACCCTGTTTTATATTTGAGATACGAATCCTTTGTTGGTGAAGCCTTGGTCGTCCTTTTCAATTTTTATGTTGTTTTCTATATTATAGAACTTTAATCATTTTATCCATCTTTTCTTCTATGCCTGATGACATTTTCATTTCTTGCTGAGGAAATATTTCCCAGATATGTACAGACATCTTCCCCCCAGTTCCTTCTAAAGGCATCATGTTTTGATATTCATCAGTGATTCTTCTTGGAGGAAACCAAGTGTGCACATGGTCCTCTCCTGCTGATCTGCCAATGCCAGTGAGGGCGGCAGCTCCTCTCCCCTTTCTGCAGGACTCCAACTCTCTTCCACTGTGCTGCTCTCTGCGACCCTCTGCACCACACTGTTTTACTTCTAGAATGTTGGAGGAAGACTTCGTATCTTGCATGCTCATGTTCTTTGTCTTTTTCTTTACATTTAACTTTTCTACATCGACCTGTCAAATTAAACAGACTCCTGTTTTTCATTGGTACTATACTGAATGTATAGATTAACCAGAAGAAAATGACATCTCTTTGATGTTAAATCTTTTATGTATGAACATAGCATAACTCTCCAATTATTTAAGATTTATTTCTTTCAAATAATTTGTATAATCTTCTCCAATAGGTTGTGCACAAGTTTTTATATACTTTTAGGTGCTTAACTTTGTATGACCATTATGAAAGGTATTTTTTTTTTTTTGGTCTTTTTTTTTCCAGTACCGGGAATCGAACTCATGACCTCACACTTGCTAGGCAGGCGCTGTGCCACTGAGCTAAATCCCCAGCTCCATGAAAGGTATTTTTTGTGTATGCTTGTTTTGGTATAAAGATCTAAAACGTCTCCAAAAATCTCCTGTAGTCTGAGTCCAAGATTTACAAAAGTGATTATGTCATGGCGGCATTAACCTCCTCAATGGATTATTGGTGAGTTCATAGCTGAAGGTATTGTTAGAAGGAAGTCGGTCACTGGGGGCATGGTTTTTTGAAGGGTGTAACATTTCTCTGGTTCTGTCTCTGCTTCCAAGCTGCCGAGGGGTAGGAAGCCATCTTGCCCCCTGTCCTCCTACCATGATGTTTCTGCCTTAGCATTTGCCACCTGTGGACTGCCAACTCTGAAACAAAGAGCCAAAATAAAGCTTTTCTCCTTTACACTGTGCATGCCAAGTATTCTGACCCAGCAACAGAAAGTAACTAACATAATTAACAGAAAGTTAGTTATAACTTTAAAGAACAGAAAGTAACTAACATAGTGCTATTGTTATTTTTTCCATGCCATAATTAGCGAGAAGGTGGGTGGTATGTAGAATACTATTGGTTCTTTATATTGACCTTCTACTAAAAACTTGCTACAATCTCACTGGTTCTGATAGTTTGTTTCCCTGTTCTGTTGTATTTTCTAGGTAGATAATAGCATTTGTGAATGAGTTTTATTTTTCCTTTCCAGTTTTCGTCCTTTTAAATTGCTTTTCTATCTTGTGCAGGGTAAGATCTCCCTTCCATGGGAAATGATAGTAATGAGCATCTTTCTCCTACTCACTTGAAGAGAGTTGCCAGTAAAATAGTCAGTTTCCCATCAAATATCACATTGGCTGCAGGATTCTGATAGAATTATCAAGGTAGAGAACTTATCTGTATTCCAGATTTGTTAACTGTATATTTTTAAAAATTATGAATGATTGTCACAATTTACCAAGCACTTTTCTACATCTATGCGAATTGTTACATTGCTTTCTTCCTGTCCCTTCAGAGCTTCCTCACATCTGCATCTTGCTGCCCTTCCCTGACCTAGGACACCACCTGGACCCATCTCAATGTTACCTCCTGGTCGAGCGGTCTGCCAACACAGAGACAGCATTGTTTTGAGCTTCAAACCTGGGAGAGGAAAAGGCCTAGCTCCTCAAAGTATCCCTAAATGTTTTCCCTATGCTGAGTTAGAGAAAACACAAGTTTCCAATCTCCTGTCAATGCTGGGTGGATTCCTTTTAATCCAACCTCAAGGAGGGGAAGGGCTCTGCAGTCTGAATACTGTGCAGAGTCTAAGTTGTGGCTACCTTCAACAGTATTTTGTCTCCTCCTCCTCCCATCTGCAAGTGGGCAGGAAAGGCAGCCTCAAATTTCTCCCCTACATGCTCTTCCTCTTGCACACCTGGGCTGGAGAGAGACTCCAGTTACCTCTCATCCAGCACTGTAGGAGTCTGTAAAGGAGAATGTTGCTCAGGATATCTCAGCTGGCCATTTTGCAGGCAACTTTACTTACTTTTTAAACGGTATCTCTATGCTGGCACAAAAAGGTTTAAAGGGTCAATTTTCCAGCTACTCTCTGGTTCTCCAGGGTACAGTCAGCCTTTTCTCTGGAAATCTGACACCTGTGGGTGGACAAGCAGGTGGAACCTGGATGCAGAAGGGCCCAGTGCTCTACTTGGCTCTGGTCACAGCTGTGACTGGTCTCCCGTCAATTTCCCCAAGTGGGTGAGGCCTGCACCACAACCAAGCTGAAACTTGCAAAGTTGGGACACAGTGTTCTCCTGAGGCTGCGCTTGGAGACCAGATGGCTTCAACATGGGCCTTGAGTCTAGACATCTGAGGGCTTGTCCTCAGCATCATCAAACACCACAGAGGTGGTACTGACAGGGACAGAAGTGGCAAGCCAAGCCCTGTCCTCTCCTCCACACAGAGCAGACTTGGACTTCCTTGTAATGGCCATGGGCACTATGTTAAACACTTTACTGAGAAATATGTGGATACTGGCAAGGTACTCCCTGACCTGGACAGGCAATCCCTGCACCTTCATCCTCAAAACATGGCAGAAATTTCCTCATACCAGAGACACAATCCTGGGACCCAAGTACGAAGAGCCCTTGGTGGGTACAGAACTGATTCTACCAAGGATGTTGCACTGCAGTGTCCCACATCACCATTCCTTAGAAAGCTGACAATGCTGCCCTGATGGGCACCTGTAGCAGATGGACCAGCACAGAGGCCTTCTGAAGGGAAACTTATTAAGGGTGAAAAGCTTTTGTTTCCTGCAGCTGAGCTAGCAAAGCCAAAAGAAAGTTGCAGTATTGTTATGGCTTGTGTTTAGATGTTCCCCCAAAGCCTCATCCAGTCATGGGCAGGGCTTCTTCAGAGGCGGCTGGATCTACAGTGTGTGACGCTGAGATTTATTTATGGTGTAATACTAGGATCAAGGACACCAGGATTAAGAAAGTGAGTGCTAGCTGCCCTAAGTAGCCTGGATAATATATAAGGGTTAGAAAGAGCTGTGGTCATCCCTTGTGTCTTTTGCTGCCTTCCACGTGGCATGAACTGTTTCTTCTCTGCAATGCCTGTCTGCCACACCACCCTTCCTTGGAGCCAGACAATTACGGACTGAAACCTCTACAGATTGTGAGCTAAATAAACCTTTTCTCCTTTAAGTTTGGATGTCGGGTATTTTGTCTTGGCAACAAGAAAAGTAACTAAGACTGAAAAGCATGTGTCAGCAGTGTGAACTGTCCAGGGTCAGGGACAAAGGAGCTAGGCATCTGGCAGCTCTACTCCAAGAGGGTGTGGAAAACCCGGAGTGGAGCACAGAGGTGCCATGGCCCTAAGATGGCCCTGTGCCATCCACCTGTGTGCAGTGAGAGCTCATCCGTATCCTAGAGCCAGAACATCGGGATCACCTAGCTCAATGCAAAGGATACAGAGAGGTGGCCAGTGACGCTTAACTTGGAAGCCACAACCTGAAGTACACAGCTTTAGTAGTGCTGTCCACCCAAACACATGTGATTGCCCATACCCTAGTGCATCCCTATCATTAATCTTCACACACACACTCCAGGGTGGCACACGGAGCACACGAGATGTCAGGCAGCATCTGTGCAGCTCACATGGGTGGCTTGTTGCTGAGGCGCACCACCTGACGGCTGCTAAGAGCTACTGGGAGCCTGGGCTCCCCACTGACATCAGCCTCATCTGCCTTCCCTTGAGGCCACTTGGCCAGCACACCTGGGGCCGGGACACACCTGTGCCCACTCTATAGGGCTCACACATCAGCAACATCAACCACTTGTAAAACCCCTGTCACCCAACACGCAGAAGTTAACTCTTGGCCCTCGTTTTGTATTTCCACCCACAGATGCTAAACAAACATCCACAAGGAGTAGGGGAGAGCAATCTTGTTCCAAAGAAATTGTCAAATCATGGCACTAGATGAGGCCTTGAGACCTTGACTGGGCCCACCTCCAGGTTGGTGGCTCTCACAGGGTTCAAGAAGCATCACCACCATAGCATGAAGCACATTTACTTCTTGCAGTCCCAAGATACTTGAGCCAGTGCCCTGATGTACCAGCTGTGAGAGGGATAGAGGGCCAGTGCTCTGACTCACAGGAGTTAGGACTGAGGATCCAGCAACATGCACCTGGCCCCAGGAAGTGGTCCAGCACAGGTCCCTTGCTGGGATGTTACCCAAGACCTCTCCCCGCCTTGTACGCACCAGTGTGCTGCATGAACACAGCCTATTATATGTGCTGCTAATTGGTGTATGTAATGCAAAACCGCAGCAAAGAATACATGGCATTCATGCTGCCAGAGGAGGGAGGTGGCGCTGCTTTCATAGGGGTTAACAGAGGGCACAGCTGCCTTCTTCCAGCCTAGCACCCAGCACTGAGCACCCAACAGTCCTGCATGTGAGCAAGGAAGAAAGCTAAGCAGAGGAAACACTCACACCCGCAGTGCCTGTCAGATGGCTGACAACAACTGCCAACCTCCTTTGCCCTGGCTGTGTGGCACTTCCCCCTGAGTAAGTTCTGCTGGCCTCATTCAGTCCCGACACCAACCCAGAGAGGCAGACTGTGCCCTAAGCATCCCCCTGTCCAGCACAGCCTGGCAGTAGGTCACTCGGCCACATGCCTAGGCTTTGCTGATACACAGGGCACAGGGCCTCAGGGACCTGCTCAGCACTGGGCACAGAAAGCCCGGACATGTGAGGGAGTTAACATCTAGGAGCACATAGGACCAGCAGGGTCAGGAGCCAGGGCTCAGCACTCCCTTCTCCCCTCCTGGGCTGACAATCATGAAATCTACTCCTTATTCTTCTGTAAGGGTTCAGGTGGGATCACACCCAAGAGTGCTGCTACAGCTGGGACCAACAGGACAACACAGCCCTCTTGGGATAGGCCTCCTCCCCTCCCTCAAGTGGTCTTCTCTGTTCCCATTCCTGTTCCTCTGTTCTGCCCAGGCCTTTATTTTGAGTCTGCTTAGTGAGGGGGTGTAGGGAGAACTTGTGGGACCTAGGCTGAGAGCTGGTACCAGGGTAACTGTAGAAAGAGGCTCCCAGAGTGGGATTCTAGAATCCAAAGTGGGATTCTGGAAGTGAAGCACTCACCCTCCAGCAAGGGGAGAACAGTACAGGTAGAGGCAGGAGCTGCAGACTGCACTTGGCTCCCAGCGACTATGTAACTCAGGGTTGGGGTGGAGGTCCCAGATGGCTGGAATGGGCAGCGTCAGGGGCCTTGCACAACCCGGACCACATGACCAGTCCAAAAGTCTCTGTGGCAACAGATAAAGAGGGGGTAGCCTTTCTTATCTGAAGAAATGGGACATTTGGCCAAGGCTGTCACATACAGAACCTGGCTTCTCCTTCTCAGGGTTCATTCCTGTGCTCTCATGCCACAGACCAGGAACTGCGGTGAGCATGAGAAGGGATGTGCAGTCTGTGCTCCAGGAAGAGGTCCATGGATGTTCAGAGCCTCCGGGACACATGCAGGAGTGAAAACTGAGGTGTGGACTACACAGTAGAAGTTTTATTGATGTGAAAAGTTCCTCTCCCAAAATAGGGGCTCAGGTCCTTGTGGGAAAGGGTGGCTGAAGCCAGCTCCAATGTACCATGGTGACAGCTCTTGATGCTTGGGCCATGCCTGGCACCTGGCCATGTTTCCCGGGAGCCAGTGGGTAGCCCTTGATTATGACAATACCAAGCACTAGAAAGTGTGGCAGGAGCTCCTGGTATTCATAGAAAGGACAGGGCTTCAGGAGGGCAGAGGCTGGTGGTGCCTCTAGGGAAGCATGGAGTCAGCTGATGACAAGAGTGTGGCCTGACCTGTACAAGCAGAAAACAATGGAGAATGGGTACCCAGAAGACAGAACCTCAGCTCTCATCAGCTACGAGATCAGAGCCTTATTACAGATTCAGAGCCCAGGGAATACATGGAGAGCAGATCCCCTGAGAAAAAATAACACCACATGGATGGATCACAGATATTTTCCAATTTTCTCCTGGAACCCACACCTTCACAATGGTAACTGCACCTGCAGAAAGAGAGAAACTCTGGCCTCTTGAGGATGGCGGATATGAGGCCTGAGGTAACACTGATCCCAAGGACCGTGATGCCTTCATGGGTTCCCAGTGATGTGGGTGGTGGAGGAAGTCCCGCCTCCTGAATACAGAGCGTGCCAGGTCCTGCAGCCACCAGCTTCCATGCCAGGCTCCTTCACCCAGCAGGCAGAGGCAGCACGTGGGACTCAGGACCACACCTACACCTCAGCTGAGCCATCAGCAAGAAGCACCTTGTCCCATTAGAAGGCTCAGAAATCATCACCAGCTGCTCACAGGATTGGGTGATGTCCCTGGATCCCCACTCTGTTTACTTGGAGACCCCCAAGAAGGAGCCAGCCACTCACAGCAGATGCTGGGAACAATACCTACCATCTTAGTGACCCCAGAAGCAGCTGCTATGCCAGACACAGGACCTTCACTGCACAGACTGGCAAAGGTCAGATGCTCTGCATGCCACTATTAACTCTGCAAACTGTTTTCCTTACCAGACCCATCAACAAGGAGAGAAGAGTTTGCTTTTATGTGGAAGGCATAGCAGTCACCCTTGCCCCACATCTGTGCTAACTCCCAGCAGTCTGCAGTGCAGACCTTAGGCTTGTGGTCATCCTGGCAAACCAGACTAACACGTTGGTCCAGATTCTGAGGGCAGCATGCTGACTGGACTTGCACCTAGTTAGCACAATCGTGTGGCAAGTAGGGCAGAAACCCTATAAAGATTCAGGCTCCTACAAATAGCAGCTCAGAGCACAAGCCTGCATCCCATTTGCACAAGCAGTTAGAAATCCTTGCTCTAACATATAGAAGTAGATTGAAAAAAATCAACAGACCCTGCTGCAGAAAAGTGGTACCAGGTATATTTATCTGAAATTAACAGATACCATGTGATCTTAAGAAAGCCAAAACCAGAGGTTTGTAAAACTAAAATCATATATAGCAGACATCCATGTGAGAACCCCCTACACATAGTCAAAAGAAAGTTAAAGAAAGCCAACTAGTGCAATGGCAAGCTACAGCTGACACATGATGGAGATGACCCAGGTCACATGCCCTCAGAGCAGAGCTGACCCCTGTCCAGGATGCCAAAGGCCATGTCCTCACCCTGCCAAAGAAACATGAGAACTGCTGAAAAGTTTCACTTTCTGCTTAAGTCTCTAGTTAGAGAAAGCCTGTGTCTGCAGGCTGCGCTCTTCAGACTTGCCTGCTTTCATGGAAACTTGGCTGGAAAATTGGGGGGAGTATACCTGGAGATGGAATGGAAATAGGTCATGAGACCTTGGTCCCTCCCTCCCTGTACCAGCCCCCTCCCCTAACCGTAACCTTAACTGTAACCCTCACCTTGAGCCTAGCCCTGGCTCTAATCCTGGGAATACCCACTCTGAGCTACACAAGCCCCTTGCTCTAGCCTTAATCCTAATCCTAGCCCCACTCTATGGAACACCCCCTCTCTCCGGCACCAGGCCCCTAACCTCCACACTCTTTGTGGCTCACAGATTTTGGCTTTACACAGTGCTGTTCAAAGAAGGAATCCTTTATTCTTTCAAGACTTTTTAAAAGGCCTCTCCATTATTACAGGGACAGAGCATATGGGCAATACAAGGCCTTGTCAACTTCTATGCAGCCTGGAACAAGCCAGGAAGGTGTTCCGAGAATTCATTTAAACCTAGGACAGCAACAGGGGCAGGAAGAACCATGTCTTCCACCTTCCCTTATAGGGCTTCCTTTTCAGAGTATGAGGTCTACCCTCAGGGGACTTTCCTGAGGATGGTAAGGTTATCAGGCATTTGAGTTTTAAAGAGTTTTTCTGTGTGCAAAATAGGGACAAAGGAATAAGCACAGCTAGTAACTAACAATTCCACATGGACAACAGTGAGCAGCAGAAGTGTTAGGTGTTGGCCGCACTCATCACTTCCACAGGTGGTTTCTGGAACTTGACAACATCCTTGTTCAAGCCTACAGGTTCTTGGAGACAAGCTGGGAGCAGCAGGAGCTGTGAGGGATGCAGGGCCTGGCAAGGTGAGAGGAGGTGCCCCAAGCCTGCTCCCATCAGGAACAAGGCCAGGCTACACCCAGATCTTCTGTGTTTAGCACCGGACACTTAAAAGATAAGTATTGTGATGGTTTGGATAAGTAATCTCCAAAGGCCATGTGTTAAATGCTTAGTCCTGGGGCTGTGGCACTCCTGGGAGGTGGTGGGACCTTTAAGGTGTGCAGCCTAGTTGGAGAAAGTTAGATAACTGGATAGGACATGCCTTCAAAGAGGTCTTGGGACCTGGACCCTTCCTCTCTGTCTTTGCTTCCTGGCCACCATCAAGTGAGCAACCTTCTCTGCCATCCATTCCCACTATGATGTGCTGCCTCACGACAGGCCCAAAGCAATGGGGCCCATTGATTGTGGACAGAAACCTCTGAGCCAAAAACCCTTTCTTCCCTTGATTACCTGAGGTATTTTGTTAGAGTAATGGAAAACTGACTGATGCCACAAACACTGATGCCAACAAATATGCAAGCAGTGCAGGCAAGGACAGACAGACAAGGGCAGCATGTGTCCCTGGGTAAACTGGACTCAATAGCACTTGGAAGAGCATTTGGAATGATGTGCAATGTGGGGGGTCAGGGGAAAGAGGCTGCTGAAATTCCTCCCCAGGATATTGGAACCAAACCTGAGGGGCTAATGGGGTCAGGAGCCCAGTACCCATAGGCAGAAGGCTAATTACTGGACCCCATGCTCCCAGGTATCTGACAGCCCCGAGGGACACAGACCCTGGCAGAGAGAAGAATGAGGGAATTCTCAAAACCAAGGTGCCAAGGGCAGCTCATCAGGCTTCTGCATTAGCTCCTTAGGTTTCCAAGTTCAGACAGAATTTCTAAGATGTGAAACAAAGACACGAAAGAACAGACAGACAGCGAGAACAAGCATTAATTAAAATCGAGGCTCGTGGCAACTCATATGGCTCAGACCCCACAAGCTGGCGCGGCAAGATTTCGAATGCGCGCCTATCCTCTGGCACGCCTTTCCTCTGTCTTCCTGAGCTGATTCCATCATGGCCTTCAGGCTTTTTGGCAAAGCCTACCCAGTTTTAATTTCCTTCCAAATGTTGAAGAAAGAACAGCACTGCATTCTAATTTACTCATACGGCTCCTCAGACCACATGCTCCCAGAGCTGTGCTCAGGACAAGTCACTGAGTGCAAGGCCCTGAGCACTCCACTGGCACAGGCGGGAGGGGGCACTTCTCACTGACACTTGGACAGTCCACTTGGCACTCGCTTCACCCTCTCTGAGCTATTGGTGGGGACCCCGAGAAGAGTCTGTGCTTGTGATAGTGATCTGTTTTCTTTCCTACCAGGGAATGAACTCCTGTGGACAAAGAACCAAGTATCCACCTCCCAGGTACGGAGTCCAACTTTCCGAGTGGCTGCTCTGGCTCCTGGGGAAACAGAAGAAAAAAGACAAACCCAGAAGCCCTAAGAAATCTGGCATAGTGAACCCCCAAACAGCCATAGCCCTCTGCATACACCCAGAGGATCCTCAAATGAGAGGGGTGTGTAGGTGGGTGTGTGGGACCTCCCCGCCCCAGACTCTTAGAGGCTGGGAGGCCCGAGGTCCAGTGTGGCTCAGGAAGGCTGGAACTGCTGCCATCAAAAATGAGTGACCCAGCTATTCCCTTCTAGGCATCCTCCCCAAAGAGTTAAAGATGTCATATTACCATGATACATGCATACGCATGTTCATAACAGCTCAATTCACAATAGCGAAATCTTGGGAGCAGCTTGTATGTCTATCGACAGATAAATGAATAAAGAAAATGTAGTATTTATACACAATGGAGTACTATTCTGCCATAAAGAAGGATAAACCTGAGTTAACTGTAGGAAAATGAATGCACCTTGAGACCATAATGTTAAGTGAAATAAATCAGACACACAAGCTTAAATGGTTTCTCTTGTGTGAGAAACCCAAAATGTAAATAAAGACCAAAATGAAAGATAGGGGCTGGGGATTTAGCTCAGTGGCACAGCACCTGCCTGGCAAATGCGCGGTCCTGAGTTCGATTCCCAGTACCGGAAAAAGAACAAAAAATAAAAAATAAAAATAATACAAGAAAGATAGATAACAGGGAGTAGGGAGAAAGATCTTTTTCAAATGGCAAGGGGGTCAAGAGGTGGAGGGCAAAGGAGGGGAAAGAAAGGGGATGGAAAAAGAATTGAGAAGTGTTGTGTACATGCACCAGCTCCTTGCAAGGAATGTAATCATTATATACTGCAAATATGTGCTAACAACAACAAAAAAAACCCGAAAAAAATCTGGAATTTTAAATCATCCATCTTTTATAAAAAGAATTCTTTATAGTTTCTAAAATAAATCACTTATTTGCAAAACCTAAAAAGAGAGAGAGATAGAGATAGAGAGATAGAGAGAGAGAGAGATAGAAATAGAGATAGGAAAGAAAGACAGACAGACAGAAAGAAAGAAAGAAAGAAAGAAAGAAAGAAAGAAAGAAAGAAAGAAAAAGAAAATGGTGAGCAGCCATCCCCCTTTCCCTGGACAGCCCTGGGTGCCTGGGGTGCTGCCTCTTCCCAATCCTTCTGATTTGTGCTTATTGACCAGAACTTGACCTCACTGTTAGCCAGGCTGCAGCCCAGTAGTGACCCCACCCTAATCTATGCTTCCAACTAACCCTGCCTCCAATCGAACCTTGACCCACCTTTGGCATCATCCCGGCAGGACTAGCTGGGAGGTGAGCTGCCTGGTAGAGGCTCTGATTGGGCTCATGCCCACCCTGCCTGCACCAACCCAGCAGCCCCAGGCTTCCTGACAGCTGGTCTGCTCCCACCCCTGCCTCCCTAGCCCCTCAAGTCCCATGTTGGCCTGGTTCATAGGGAAAGCTACATAGTGGTTTTGCACGCACACAATCGTATCTAAAATTCTTCGTAAATGAAAGTGATTAGAGAGAAAAGAAATGGGTGTGCAGAGCTTCCCCAAGCACATCACTTACATGAGCAGAACTCTCTCCAAACCTACTGGATTCTCCAAGCCACAGGCTACACTAGCACTAGGTATTGGGATGAGAAGTTATAGTGTGATGTGAACACCTCACTCCAGGTCCTCTTCCAAGCTGACAACATAAAGTTCCTTAGTCACCTATTAGTTTGTCCAAAAACTATCTTAGACCACAATGATGTAGCCTTAAACTCCACCTTGAGTGGCAGCTTCTTGCTCTCACTGCTGTGATCCTCCACCAACATCTCCTAGCTTCTTCCAGGTTCCACAGAAGAAGAGGGTAAGAACTCTCCTTTGGATAATGAAGGGTTTGGTGAGTTCAGAATTAACTCACCTCCCACCTAAGGCAACACAAATCCTGAAAGGCCAAAATCTGGGTTGAGAGGGATAAGCAAAGTACTGAAGAACAAAACCAGCTCCTGGCTAACTGGATTAGCCAATACCCCAGGCTTGGACCTTCGCCTCTTGAGGGTGAAGGGGACAGGAGCATGCCTGATCCAGCGTAGAATCTTTTGGCACACTCTGTAAGAAACTACTGCTATAGTACCACACGGCATGCCCCTCTACTGCCCACATAATGCCCGGGCCCTGGTTCCATGAGGCCATAGAGCGCCACCTTGATAGGCTGAGGGAGAGAAAAGAAGTCCTGAGAATGTCGTCCCTGAGCAGTGGTGACAGGAGCCCAGCCAGCAGATGACCCAGGTGGGTGAAGAGACCAGACTGAGAGCGGATTTGAAGTGCTTCCCAACTAGAGCACCTCTAGCTGCCTGGCAGGAGCGAACACGGCCCTTCTGGGGGTGGGGAAAACCTAGGTCTCATAGACCCCACAAACAAATGTTCGGAGACAATGACTAATATGCAGGTAGCGATTCCAGGAAAACCAGGTAACAAAACAAAGGAGTAAGACCCAGGTTTTTAAAAATGTCTTTAAAGACCCATACAAACTTCAGACTAGCATTAACAAATACAAATTACAAAACAATTATTTCTATTTTAAAAAGCAGCCTATTTTTTTAGAGCAGTTTGGAATCCACAGCAAAATTTAACAGAAAGTACACAGAATTCCCATGTACTCCCTACCCATTCTCCCACACAACTTCTTTCTGTTTTTTTTTGTTTTTTGTTTTTTGTTTTTTAAGAAATAGGTTATAAGCTTGAAAATGACAATGGAGTAGAGAATTATAAGAAGTGGTATTTCACATATGAATTGTTTTTTAAAAGGATTTTTAGAAATAACAAATATGATCACTGAAATTAAAAGCACAATGGATACTTTGGGTAGTAGACTGGGTACTAGAAAACAGAACTGGTGAACTGAAAGAAAATTTAGGAAAAAAAATCCTAGAATTATCCATAAATAGAAAAGAAAGGTAGAACAAAGGTAACAAGGTAACAGAAATGGAGGATAAAATGAGACTGTATCTTAGAAAAATAAACTAAGGAGGAAACAATAGAAGCAAAGTTTGAAGATACAGTGACTGAGAATTCCCTAACACTGATGAAAGACAAAAACCCCCAAAGTTTGCTGGGCATGGTGGAGCATGCCTGTAATACCAGCACTTGGGAGGCTGAGACAGGAATATTGCTATGAGTTTAAGGCCAGGTTGGGCTACATAGTGAGACCTTATCTCAAAAAACAAACAAAAAAACAAATAAAAACACCCAAAGGGCTGGGGATTTAGCTTAGTGGCATAGCACCTGACTGGCAAGCGCAAGGTCGTGAGTTCGATTCCCAGTACCGGAAAAAAAAAAAACAAAAAACAAAAAACAAAAAAACACCCAAAGGTTCAAACCTAGTACAAACCTAGATATATCAGTGAAAGTTGAGAAGAAGGAGATACTAGAGAGAGGAAGAAAAAACAAAGGAGAAAATAACAAACAAAACCTGTCCAAGGGAAAGCACATTATTTTCAAAGGAAGGATAGTCGTAAGGACAGCTGAGTTCTTACAGGAACAAAAGAAGCCTTCAAACTATGAAATAATGTTTTAAGTATGCTTTAAAGAAAGTAGAAGCTACAACACAAATTCTAAACCCAGTAGAGAGACAGTTTACCCTCATTCTAGAAAGAATGAGACCCCAAAAAAATGGAAAAAGAAAACTGTTATGATTTGAGTCTGGATGTTCCCCTAAAGCCACACGTGGTCATGTGGGGGGCGGGCTTTTCAGAGATGGCTGAATCTAGTTTGTGATTGAGTCACTGGCCAATGCTGGGATTATGAGTGTGGGTGCTATATCTGCCCTAGGGGAGGTAGCTTGGATACAAGGGAAAGAGGCTCACTTTAACTTTGGGTGTTGAGTATTTTGAATCAGCAACCGGAGAAAAGTAAATAAGACAAAACCCACAAGTAAGGTGCCTGCACTCAGTGGAAATGGAAGGAATGATAATGATCTACCTCAGGAAGAAGAACTTCAGCTGGAAGATCTGCAAGACATATGGAGATTAAAAACAGCAAACTTGTGAAATGTGTAAGGAAACCTAAAAGTTACTGCAAATTGTGATGATAATTTCCAGTGGTGTTATATAATAACCAAGATAAACATATAACAAATAACAAATAACAAAAACACAGGAGAGAGAGCAACTGAGTTAAACTATCCAACTTATTTATCTGGAAAGAGATTTTTATTAGTTTTAGCCATGTATAAGTTAATTTTGTGTGCTGGTTTTTGTGGCACTCATGGAAATAATAGAAAAATATATAGGGCTTAAGTAGAAGAGAGAAAAATCCTCAGTCAATGTAAAAGAAGACGAAAAGGAGAAAAAGAGTTGCAACAAGTAGAAAGCACAAAATAAAATAGATTTAAGTCCAACTTGAAACATTAAGTGGAAATGAAGAAATATACTGAGGAGGTATAGGCAAAACAGCAGTGTTGACATCATAGTCTGCAAACCTCCCTAAACTTCCTCTTGACACAAAACAGCAACCACCATAGCAAAATGAAACAGTGGATTTAAAAAATACTCTACAAAACAAAGTGACGAAGTACTACCTGTCTTCTGATTATCTACTCTGATGTTAACAAACTTACAGGCTAAGAACAACATTTTTCTAGCAGTGGAGATTACCTCTGTAATCCCAGCTACTGGGGAGGCTGAGGCAGGGGTATTTGCAAGTGTGACTAAGCAACTCAGCAAGACTGTATCTCAAAATAATAAAGTAAAAAGTGCTGGAGATGTAGTTCAGTGGCCTAGCATGCACAAGGCCCTGGGTTTAGTACTACAAGAAAAGAAAATTATTTTGTTTAGGCTTGTGTGGGCAGGAAATTGGGGAATCTTAGCTAGGAGTTCATTTCTCACCATGTGGTATCAGCTGCAGCCATGTGGCTTAGGGGACCCATGGCTTCAATGAAAAGAGTCACAGAGAATTTTGCACCATTTTGATTGTGGTACAGAACCAGTCATGGGGTGTGCATCTGTAGCCTCAGCTATTCAGGAGGCTGAGGCAGGAGACTGCTTAAGGCCAGGAGTCTGAGGCCAGCCTGGGTGACACAGAAAGACCACATGTCAAAAAAAAAAATAATGATAATAATAATAATAATAAGAAGAAGAAGAAGAAGAAGAAGAAAAGGAAAAATAATTAAAGGTACTGTAGTCAAAGGCCCCAGAATACCAAGGTGGAACTAGGTCCCATCAACATCAAGTAGCACAAGTAATGGCCCACGATCCAGCGCTGGGGGAAACAGGACTCTTAATTTGAACTGACAAATATATTTGTGGTGAAGGGAATTTGATGGTTCTGCAAACTGCAGGACTCAGAAATCACTAACCAATTTACCTCAAAAATAAATGCTCCCCACTTGAT